CATGTAATCAAACTTTGTGCACTTGAGAACTAGAATATATTTATGATGTTGGCAGTGTCCCAGGGTTATGTGATTACCATTAGTGACATTCTCTCTCTCTTTTTTTTAATAGTGTAATTTTTGAACAAATATAAATTATATATGGGTATACAACACAACACATAAAGACAACCATAGAGAAGGACTAACCGGGGTCGTATCGAAACCCCAAATACTTATTCATAGTTACATCCCAGTAAATCCTTTTGTTCAATTAGCGTTGACTATTTTAAATACTAAAAGCTATCTCATTATAATTAAGTATATATTTAATACTATGTTATTTATTCTATATTTGTCCTCTTCCTTAACCATATGCCGCTGATAATGTCAATTTAATTTATCTATTCCATATTCCCTGCCATTCTTCAAGTTGCATCGGCCTTTCTAAATTTCTTCCCCAGGAAATCATTGTATCTTTTACTATCTCCTCAGCTGTATAACTTGATAACAAAAGATTATAGGTCATAGATATAAATTTTGTTTCAACACCCAGAAGGAATCTATCTAACGGTTGTGTCGTTTGGTAAATACCATTAATGACATTCTCATACAACTTCCAACAAACAAAGTCAATGGGAGAAACTGGATTTGTTTAATGACTAGACTATTCATTGAACAACTGAAGTGATTTACATAAAATTACAAAAAAAATCATGAAACCAGTCATGATTCACTTACCAACTATTTTGCTTAGCAAGGAAATTCTGATCCCAGTTATGGTTGTAAATGGAGGCTTTGCTGTATCCAGTAAACCAAACCTGATTAGTTTGTGGTTTTAGTGTGTTCGGTAAACCCAGCTGATTGGTTTATGTGCTGCATTCATGAACATCTATAATATTGGGTTAATGTATTAATTATACTATGGATAAATACATCGTATGATTAAAAGCAACTAGTCCACTGGAACAAGACAGATCCTCATGAAACTTCTTCCATTGTTTCCTGAATTTCAAGCAAGTATATCTGCAAAAGGTACAATACTCAAAGAAAGCAATCTGTCAAGTAGGCCCCTACCTTGATATGAATGCTAGAAGTTAGTTTTAAATGTATTTCACCAAAATATTTTAAATTTAAGTATTTCAATGCAATATTCCAGTGCTGCCAGAGCCACATTGTGAAAATCTTCTTCAAATTATTGCCAAGAAATTGGCAGATGATTGGAAGAGAAGCAGCAAACAGGCTTGGCATAAATAATCAAGGTGCCATAGGCTTTCAGAGTCTAACAATTAAAGCTTTATGCCACAGTATTTTTTTAAACCCAGATTTACATTCATGAGATAATGGGAGCTGGGTACTGCTGCTATTATAAATCTATTCTTTCTGTTTATCCATTTTTTCTTTAAATAGCATTTCTACATTGCTATATAGCTCTATTTAGAACAATGTTTGCTCTACAAACATTTATAAGGAACTGGGTCCTAGGTTTCACTTGTACAGAAATGTTCAAAAACAGTGAAAATAGGGTTAAAAATATAAACTATTTTAAAACATTAACACATTTAGAAATATTTGTAATTTATGCACTGCTTTAATCCTAGTGAATTATAGATAGTCTGCAGATATTAAAATAACAATAAATTAATAAATCATTAAAATTAAACAGAGATAAACCCTACAATATCTATGGCTCCACAGACTCAGTCCCCAAGTCTGCTGCAAAAGACAGATTTTTACCAATCTCCAGAACACTATGAAAGTGTGAACCATCCTTACTGGGGTCCATTAATGTCCCTAGGAGGAGAGCTGCCACCAAGAATGCCCCCACTTACTGTTTCTACTGGGTGTCCTTCCCTGCAGCAATGTTGTACTTACTGTATATATTGGACATGGAAGTACACTGGCTGACTTTAGGTTAGATCAGTGATGGCCAACTTTTTAAACACCGAGTGCCCAAACTGCGCGCGTGCGCATGCCCAAACTGACAGATGCCCAAACGCATGCCCATGCATGTCTATGTGCATGCGCGTACATATGTCTGTGCACATGCGTGGACATGCATGCAGCAGAGACCCAGCTGGCCAGCAGGAGGTGGGGCATCCCAACACCGACAGCATGGCAAAAATTAAGATCTTGTTCTTTTGGGAGCTTCTGTTTCGTCATTTGCAGGGAAACAGAAGCTCATGAAAGAAACGCCATGGAGATCTAACCTGGGGCGATGGTGAGAGTGCCAGCAGAGAGGGTTCTGCGTGCTATCTCTGGCACGCATGCCATAGTTTCATCATCATGGGGTTAGATCAACTTATTTATAGGGTGGGTAAAAGGAGTAGGGAGGAAGGTTACCTACTCTGCCCTGAGTTCCTGCATTAAAGGTAAGATATAAGACATTACCTCCATTTCCATGAGAGCACTAAATTCATGATATAAAAACTGCACCATTAAGCAATGCATTTTTGGTGGTGGCGCATGGTTTGAATGCAGTACTGCAGGCTACTTTTGCTGACTGCTGGCTGCCATCAGTTTGGCAGTTTGATTCTCACCGGTTCAAGGTTGAATCTGCCTTCCATCCTTCCGAGGTTGAGGGCTATAAAGCACTGTGAAGCGGTATATAAGTTTAAGTGCTATTGCTATTTCCACTTGACAAGTTCAAAGTAAAGCTAAAATTAAACCTTAATTGGCTCTGAAGGACCACCCTGATGTATTGTTTAAAGGCAATATGTTTAAAACTTGGCAACGTTAAGCTATATGGACTTCATCTCCCAGAATTCCCCAGTTGAGAATGCCAGTTTGGGCTAGTGGTTAAGGCACTAGGCTAGAAAAGCAGGAGACTGTGAGTTCAAGTGTTGCCTTAGCTCTGAAAGCCAGTTGGGTGATCTTGTGTCAGTCACTTTCTCTCAGCCAAGTGCCCCTCACAGGGTTGTTATGGGGGAAACAAGAGAAATGTGTGTTGGATATGTTTGCTGACTTGAATTATTTGTAAAAATAATAAAAGTAGAATAAACAAAGTTTGAAAAACACTGATTTAAGACAAGTTTTCTCAAACAATGGAGTTTGCTTTTGAAAACAGACTGGTGTAGCTGAGGCAGCAATTTTTTTTTTGTTTGTTAAAAATTTATTTTATCAAAGCAAGCTTACAATGTAGTTGCTTTACCCAGGAGTATTAGAATCCCTGTGATACATAAATTAAATTATATTTATTTATCTGATCAGCTATCTCAACAAATAGAGGACAAAATTTTTAAAAATACTTTTAATTGTAATTACAATAATTAAAATACATAGCAAAAGAGAATGAATCGTTAAACACTACCTCTAAAATTTTAATCATTTTATTTCTTGCCCAATTTTAGCATTCATGGAATTATTACTTTACTCCTGTCATAGTTCAGGCATGTTTTACATTTAGGAAATTGCTGTATTGCAATTTAATGACATTTATTGATCTAGGAGCTGGCACTCCAAGCGTGCATTCAATAAAGAAAGCGATGTTGGGCAGATCCCTCTCTCGGCCCAAACTACCCACGAGGTTTATAGAGGTTCTCAGTCATCCAGGTCATGGTTGTCCCAAAGGTGTTTTTTCCTGGAGGCAACTGGACTTGGTTTTTTTTTTTCCTTTGAAGACGTTTCGCTTCTCATCCAAGAAGCTTCTTCACTTCTGACAGGACAGTGGGGAATGGAAGGATTTCTGCAAGGAATATATTCCTTCCATTCTACGCTATCCTATCAGAACTGAAGAAGCTTCTTCGATGAGAAGCGAAACGTCTTCAAAGGGAAAACAAACCCCAAGAAAATCCAGTTGCCTCCTGAAAAAAAGCACCTCTGGGATACCCACAGGGTTGTTGTTGTTGAGAAAGTAGGCGGCTGGAGCTCTCTGCCTTCAGGCCCCAAAATAATAATAATAATAATAATAATAATAATAATAATAATAATAATAAATAATAATAATAATAAAATAATAATAATAATAATAATAATAATAATAATAATAAATAAAACCACCTTACTCAGAACAGCTTGCATCCTCCAACAATACCTTAACAGTTTCTAGGTCCTTGGTTAGGACTCGAGCTGCTGAGCTACTAACCAGCCTCAAAGGCTGTGAATCTCACTAAAGATTAAATAATAATAATAATAATAATAATAATAATAATAATAATAATAATAATAATAATAATAATAAAATATAAAACCACCTTACTCAGAACAGCTTGCATCCTCCAACAATACCTTAACAGTTTCTAGGTCCTTGGTTAGGACTCGAGCTGCTGAGCTACTAACCAGCCTCAAAGGCTGTGAATCTCACTAAAGATTAAATAATAATAATAAAATAATAATAATAATAAAATAATAATAATAATAATAATAATAATAATAATAATAATAATAATAATAATAATAATATAAAACCACCTTACTCAGAACAGCTTGCATCCTCCAACAATACCTTAACAGTTTCTAGGTCCTTGGTTAGGACTCGAGCTGCTGAGCTACTAACCAGCCTCAAAGGCTGTGAATCTCACTAAAGATTAAATAATAATAACAACAACAACAACAACAACAACAACACAACAACAAAATAATAATAGGTCAGCGGCAGAAGGCCACTTTACTGGGATCTGCTCGCATAATCCGCCGATACATCACACAGTCCTAAACGCTTCGGCCGTGTTGGACTAGTGATTTGGGATACGAAATCCAGTATGGTCATCTCGTTTGCTGTGTATATTGTAAATAATAATAATAATAATAATAATAATAATAATAATAATAATAATAATAGAAATAAAAATAATAAAAAATAAAAATAATAAAAAAACCAGAATGGAAATGCAGTATTAAAGAAAAAATGAGGGAACGAGCTCGCCCGCCCGCAGCAAGAACCGTCCTTTTCCTCGGTTGCCACCTTGCGGGACCTCTCTATAAAAGCCTCGAGGTTGGGTTCTTAGAGCGGCGGCGCGGACGTCACTTTCCCCGGCCGCGTGTTTACGTGGAGCTGAAGATGGCGGCGCCGGTGGGTCCGCCGAGGCGCCTTCAGACCCCCGTAGAGTAGACAGGCAGAGCGAGCGATCGAGACGTTTCGGAGGCTGGAAGGCAAATCTCCCTTTTGGGTTTAGTTGGCTGCACCGTAATTGTCTTGTCTCCCGGGCAGGAGCCATGGACGAGCAGGAGAGGCAGAAGAAGCTGGAGGCCGGCAAAGCCAAGGTAAGGCGAGAAGGGAGCGCGGGGTGGGAAGGCTACCGGGCGGCAGGCCTGGACGCGGTCGCGGGTGGGTGGGTGGGTGGGAGAAATACGTGGTGGCGCGGGCGGCTTGGGCTTCATGGGTGGTAAGGAACATAAAACTTGCCTGTCCCGCCCCTTTTTCCATAAGTAATATATCTATATCTATATCTATACATTACTATTTTATATATATCGCTTGCCCGTTCGCCCCCTCCCCGCTGTCAGGAGCGACGGAGCTCAATCGCGGGGGGATGAGGGAGCGAGGCGTTCCCTGCCGACTTTTCCGTGTTGCGCTTTCCTTTGTGTACGACTCTTTTCTTTGTGTGTGTGGGGGCGTTTTTTTTTGTCGTGGAACTGTCATCGCATTTTGGGGTCCTCTCCGTGCAGATTGCAGGCTCCAGAGCGAGGCTCTTTCTTCCCTGCTTGTGATACGTATCAATGCCATTGGCTCGGGAACAGCTGTTGCTCTTGGCAAGAGGTTGTACATGCCTTGGAAATGCCACAGGTCCCAACTGGTATCTCTTATTTTAGCAAGGGAGCACATAGGGCTGGAGGGGATCGCCGTTTATTCTGTCTTGCTCTATAAATAGGTGCCTTAAAAACCAAGGTAAAAATGTACTGCCCTAAGTCAGGTTTATAATGTATACAGCAGACAAAGATGAATACAGTCACTGAAAAATTGATAATTAAACCTGTATACCCACTGCAACCTCTATTTGGTGGAATGTAACCTATGTGCATAGTAAGAGGTTTATAATGTCTAATTATTTAACTTCTGTAACGGGATTGAATATATGAATGGCTTCTCAGGATGCCTTAGTCCCTTACTGTACTTTTGGGATACCCAAACAGGCCAGTGAGCTCATAATTGCAAGTAATTTGACCACTACATGGATTGCATTGCTAATTTAAGAATAAAATTAAACCATTTTGTCTGCACTGCAGTTTTATGTTAAAAAGGCACATTCTTGGGCATCAGATATTTGTAATTTTTTTTAGAAAAGTGGAAAATGTATAACGTTTTCAATGTGCATGCTTGACAAGAAAATTATGAGATACCTCTAAGTAACTACCAGTACAACAATGTTATTTTCAACATCCTTGTGTTAGGTTTAAAACACTTTGCATTGCTAGATTCAGATGATGAGTTCTTTAATTTATGAAATAATTTTAATTATTCAATCCATAAATGTATATCTGAAATTTAAGCAGGGATTGCTTAAATTTAAGCCCAGAATCTGTTGCTGAGCGAAAAATGAAGTGAGGTTGTTAAATGAACCTCACATAAATGTCTATATGGACTGCTATGCTTAATGACAGCAATCATGATACTCTGAATTGCTGTCATTAAGTGATTGTGTGGGTTATTAAGTGAACATAGTCCCAGATAAGGAGCATAGGATACTTGGAGATGGGGGAAACTCTAGTAGGCTCCGCTCAGGAGCTGAAAATGCTCCTTCCTGAAATCCAAGCAGGATTCTCAGCCCTGAGAGAAGAGAAACTTGTATGTGGCCTGCTCTGGGCCTCCAGGGACTTTCTCCACTCACTTAAGGCATGCCACATTCTTTACTGTGCTGTCTCTGCACTCAGGAGCTAAAGTCCTGCTTGAATTTTGGCTACCTCTTGTCTCTAAGTGCTGGCTGAAAGAGCTGCCAGCTGAAGGGAAGCCTTCAGTAGGCGCAGGAAAAGAACTCTAATAATAAGGATCTGAGCTTTGTTTTTACATCCCACAGCCAGATGTCAACATACAAAGAACAGTTGCAGGAATTGGGTATGTCTAGTCTAATGAAAAGAGGGATTGGGTGTGTGTTTGACATGATAGCAGTGTTCCAATATTTAGGGGTAGCAACAAAGAAGAAGTAAACCTATTCTCCAAAGCACCTCAGGGCAGGACAAGAAGCAATGGATGGAAACTAATCAAAAAGAGAACCAACCTAGAACTAAGGAGAAATTTCCTGGCAGTAAGAGTAAGACAGTAAGAGATTGGATAGCAATTTGTCTGAAATAGTATAGGGTTTCCGCTGGAGCAGGGGGTTGGGCAGGAAGACCTTCAAGGTTACTTGCAGCTCTGTTACTGTGTTAAACTCTCCTCTGTGCAGGAAGGAACTCCTTCCATATGAACTCCTCCTCAAATCATCAGGAACTGAGATGTATTTTTCCATTTCCCGCCAAAGTTCATCTCTCCTCCACACATGGAAGGGAACTCTTTCAGTAGCTTCCCAGTAGACTGTCTGGAGAAGCCAACAGAGGAAATTGCAAATGGCAATCATATGATCATGGAATGCTTGGCAATTAGTTGTTAGTGTGAAAAAGGTTGCCAAGCACCAAACTTAAAATTATATAATTGGGGGGATGTATTGTTTTATAATGGCTTGGCCATAAAGCATCTTTTCCAGGCCCTTGATAACTTTGAATAAAGTTATCAATAAATAATATAATATGGAGTCTGTGAAGATTATCAGTTATCCGAGTGATGGTTGTCCCAAAAATGCTTTTTCAAAAGGCAACTGGACTTTGTTTTTCCTTGAAGACATTTCGCTTCTCATCCAAGAAACTTCTTCAGTTACCTTATTTGCTTTTCCTTGAAGACATTTCGCTTCTCATCCAAGAAGCTTCTTCAGGTCTTCTTCAGAACTAAAGAAGCTTCTTGAATGAGAAGCAAAATGTCTTCAAGGGAAAACAAAAAAAGTTCAGTTGCCCCTTGAAAAAGCACCTTTGGGATAATATGGATATGTCTCTGAAGTTGAAGTTAACCAGAGGGAGTTGTTACTTTTAATCTGTGTTACATTAAAATTTTAGGAATATGCTTATTGTATTTATTGCCATATTTATTTACTGAAAATATTCAAAGCAAGACATTGAAAGTATATTATCAATACATTATTAAAAGCAATATTTAAAAATCCTAAAGTTTCAGGACATGTTTTCTAAGGCAAATGTATTACAGGAGTATAATTTTATATATTAATTCTACAGTTGCTAAAATTCTGAATGGTGTAGCAATATTTTTATAATATGAATATATAATACAATAAACCAGAATGAAATGAAGACTAAAAATCCATTTTTTTTTCTTTATATGGACTGATTAATTCTACACAGTGTTTTAATTTTAAACATCTAAAGGTATTTTTGAGAAAGTCAGTTTAATGTAATGGTTAAAGCATCATGTTAGAGATAGGGAGACCATAAATCCTAGGCCCACCTGCACAAAGCCAACTGGGTGACCTTGAGCCAGTCACATTCTATTGTCTTAGGAAGGAGGTAGAGGCAAATCACTTCAGAAAACCTTGCCAAGAAACCTGCAGAGACTTGTCACTAGGAGTCAAAACTGGCTTGAAGGCACAAAAACAGAAAGTGTATGTATCCAACCTGAAAATTAAACACTTGTGAATCTTCTTGCTATTCAAAATGGTAAATTATTATCAACAAATAATTCAAATTCCCTAACGTTGCCTAATGTCTGTTTATTTTTCATCAATTTTAACTGGTTTTACATTCACTTATGCTATCTTTATAGAGAGGGCCACTAATGATTTTCTTCCAGTTATCTGGCACTGATATAGTCTTGAATACATGTGTTGAGCAAATTACACAATTATTCCATAAGCAACTCACATTCATAATTCAACATTTTTCTACACTGTCTGCCCAACACAATTTTTCAAAGGTCTTAACCAAGCAAAATAAAATAACCACCACAGTCCATTTTGTGCATCTTTGTGTTCATTTCTTTTATCCTTTGCAATAAAGCAAATACAGAATGTACACATGGATGAATTTGGTACCAGAGACTGCACTAAAAGGCACTCTGTTTCTGTGCTAGTTAATTTCTAGAATTCAGCTGATTTTTCTAGACTTTCTCACATATATGTATGCAATTTGTTTTCTATCCGTATGCTACAATCCAGCTATTACAGGCTGATTAATGGATTAATTGTAAAACACATTTTCTTTCTCAAAATTAGTCATTTGCTTAATTTATGTTTCTTGCTGAAGAAACATGTAAAGATGTAGTCAAATCCAAGTTTTCTATTATAAGATTGATTCCTTTGTTTCTGATGTAATCTTCATTCATCTATAGGTGTGTCTCTCTTTCTGTATTTGTTTTAAAACATCCAGCTGCTTATGGAAGACCCTCTCAATAGCAGTTATCTCTATTATCCAGTCTTTATCATTCTGTAGAAGTCAGAAAATCCTAGAAATGAATAAATTGTACTTAATTTGTTAGAGCTTAATATTATGCACATGCTGCGGTTGGGCATGCATGTCTTTTTGTAAAACCTGATGATAGTGAATAATAATCTTGTTTGTAGAACAAAGAAAGCACTTGTACATCTCTGAATAATATAAGCAAATAATTATATCCAGTAAATAGCTGATGTCATAGCCTTTGTTTTATTGTTGAACTGTTCTATATTTTTTAGGTGTGTATTGTAGGACTTTTAAAAAATTCGATAGTTATATAAAAAATTTAGAAGATATATTTCTGATGGATTGAAAAAAAAGAGATACTGTTCATCCTTGTTGTTAAATAAATTTGATAATCACTGTTGCCAGGGTAACTAACAGTGCAATTATATATGATTTTAATTACAAATAAATCAATATTGTTCAGTAGAGTTAATTTTTAAGATAGTATGTGTAAGTTTACTATTGAAAAACACTTATATACTCTTGGAATTTTTTTCTCATAGTAGCTTCACAGCAAAATTTTACTTTTGAATTATAAAAATTGTGCCTCTCCTCATTCTTATTAGCAGGCTAAAGGGAGATGACATGTTTCATTCAAATTAGGAAAACAGTATGTCTTTTTCCAAAGAATTAAGCAATTCAAAATATTTTTAATGCTCATTGAGTGAGGAAAACTAATAACATTTTGTTGGTTTATAGGTTAATCTCATATTAAGACTTGGTGTGCAGATTTCAATGGGGGAAAAATATAGATGCTTTATATGCATGTTATTTGGAATGGTAAATTT